CCCTGTGCCCGTTCATAGTGTGACACGATTCTTGGCGTGGTCTGGTTTATTTCATCTTTCGGGATCCATTAGTCATCTTCTGATTCCCAATTCTAAGAGCGGATATTGTACCACCTCTGTGGCATCCTCTTCTCAATAGACTTTTCAAGTTTTCAACCATTTTTGCTTGTGCTAGTTGTGCCTTTGTGTGGGAACCTTCTTTCATTTTTTTTTTAATACGAAAATTCATACACTAAGTAACTGCTTTAACTTTTTTAAGTCTTTTTTAAAGCTTTTTTATAGTTTTTGACTTGTAACTCAAGTTTGGTTAGGAATTCTGACATGACTCTGGGGCAAAAGTGGTTTGCATTGTCATTCTGCATAGCATTTTTTTTTTTCAGATTTTTTTATTTTTATTTTTTTTAATGGTCCGGACATTTCCGGACATGTCCAGACATCCGGACCGTCCGCATCCCCCATGTCCGGAGGTCCGGAAATGTCCGGAATTCCGGACGTCCGGAAACTACCGGACACGGGTCCGGTTCCATGTCCGGAAATGTCCGGGTCCGCGTCCGGCGTAGCCATGCTTTTTTCCCTTTTCGTTCTTCAATTTTTATTTTTTTTTATTTTTTTTAAACAAGGCAGTTTTATTATAAGAGCAAAAGGAGGCTGGGAATCCCTCCACATCTCAACCCCGAGTAATCCAGTGTCCCATGCTTCAAGATCCCAGCATACCTAATCCTGCCCAAATAAGGAACTGGACTAACAAGGCTGCAGTCTTGTACTTCGTGTGTTTTTTTCTGTTTTCTGTTGTGTCCACCGAGGAGCTGTTTGAGAACTGTCTTCAAGTCTTTGCGAATGGGCTTCTCCTGTGAGGGAACCATTCGGATTGCAACTGCGTTGTACTGCGGATGTGTTTTCACATTCATCATCACACAGGCTCTGACAGACTATTTCTCAGACTTACTGTCATTCTTGTGAGGGGTTTGGACCGGCAGTCTGCTAGGATTGCAAGGTTGGTGTGAGTAAAGTTGACCACTTTTTTCTCTCTGAGGGGGGTATTGCTCACTCTGAGCGACGTGGTGAGTCCGTACACATAAGTCAATTGCATCCTGGGCAGACTGTCGGGGTTCGACCTCCCAATGAGTCGGTGAAACTCCAACGAAACAGTCCAGCACAGTCATGCCTTTTTGCGGAGTTTTGAATAGTGTTACGATCCTGGCCAATTACAAAGTATGCATTCATCAGAAAGTACAATGCCATCCAATTGCAAAAAGAAATTAATGAACTTGAGAGGAGAGAGAGGGAAAGAAGAAGAAGAAGAAGTAAGAAAGAAGAACAAGATGATGTACTCCATCATATGCCAATGACAAGGCTCTTCTTCTTCGTCAACCAATCTCCTCCTCCTTATCTCCTCCCCTCTTATTCAAACAAGAAATAACAATAATAATGTTGAATGGCTGAACCAGAATCAATGTCCGAATCCCACTTCTACTGCAGGCACAACATGAGGTCCACCATGGCCATGGCCACCCTTCCTCTTCCTCTACATGCAGGCCTAGGCTATGGCCGAGCAATGAGGGCTCTATCCTCCTGTCCAAAGGACAACCCAAAGCAGCTATGCCGCTGCCCTTCTGTCCCAAGGTCAACACCAGGCAGCTATGCCGCTGCCCACTCAACCGCCATGCCTGACTCTGTCCCGAGCTTCCTTGATGCCGCACTACCCCAACTGGGGCCTTCCAAATGCAGCGCCTAACAAGGTGATGAAGATGGTGTCCGCCATAGCCAGGTAGGTACCTCACCACTCTCCTCCTTGGTCCCCTTCTCCCTCCTCCTCCTACCGGTAGAGCTCCACCATACCCAAGGTGGAAGCTCCCGGCTTCTTCCTCCCAGCAGCGCTGTAGTACCCAGCGCTACTCCAGCCAGCGCTCCAGCACCATGTCGCCAAACTTGCACACTGACGAATGAGGCCGAGCTCTTCCCTCGGCCTCTTGATATAGCGGCCTGCTTGCCTCCTGGGCGGTGACTTCCAGGCCGCTCGGCCTCCCAAGCAACCGGTACCTCCTCCCTTTCGGAGGGAAACATGATTGCGGACTCTGATATTGCCTGTACAGGCTCTAGACTCAGACTGGATGGACTGGTACCGGCCTAGACCTAGCCTACCGCTACTGGGCCTCTAAAACTGCCAACTTTGTCTTCTTCTGCTCAGCCTCGAGCACCCGGCACATCTACTGCTACTGGGTGCGGTACCGGCCTACCTGCTACTTCAGTGTTTTTCCGCTGCTCTAAGCACCGCGGGCCCCTGGCTCCGCTACTTGAGTGTTTTCCCTGCTGCAACCCTCAATGTCACGGCCACAGGTTAGTACCGGCCCTACGGGCCTGCCAAACAAGCCAGTACCCTTGCGGGTCACACACACACTCATACCGACAAGCACTCAGACAGGCACGCAGGTCACAAGCATGCACACACACAGACTTAGAAAACTCAGCAGAATGCGGGAATATCAGCAAGGCATCCATTCCATCGGCAGAACTTCAGAAATCAGTAGTGTTCTCAGTCTGTGTTATGGCGGGTCATTACACTACCCCCCCCTCAAGAGCGAGGTCCCTTCGAGCGAGTAACTCAATCAGAGTCCCTGCATAATGCATCATAAACATAAATGGCGAAGAGAGATCGGGTATGTTCCGTAGGAGTGAGGGTAGCAGTAAATTTAGGTTGCTGTTCGGAGCTAATCGGTCGTTCATATGCGTTGACGACTCGCGGGGCACTCTGCATCAAATCTTTCTTAGCAATCCAGTAAAAATCATTCAATGGATGATATAGGAAGTGGACTTTGTATTGCCTGTTTCTCCCTTTCCCATTGTGCTCGACAATTCTGTCAATCCCGTGACCGCCATTGATTGCGCGAGGAATCATTGATTCTCGATACGGAAAAGTTTCGGGTGGTTCATACGGAAACAACTTCGACGCGTGAAAGACTGGGGACGTGCGCAGATGAGGAGGCACGTCGATCGTGTAAGAAAGACCAAATGAATCATTCCCAACTCGGTTCAGCACCTTCCACGGACCGTAGTACTGAGGAAGAAGCTTTCGTGATACACCTTCTTCTTCAGAAAACTCAGACATCTTGACCCAGACATAACTTCCCAATGTGAAAGGGTCAGGCTGGCGCTTTTTGTTTGCATGCTTAATCATGGCACTGTGTCGCCTTTCCATAGTTGTGACAACAACTTTGAGCAAACGATCAAACTTGACACTGTAGTCTGGCTGGCCAGGTGTTAGGCTAGGTGGCTGGTCAAGAAACAAATAGGATAGGGGATTGCGAATTTGCCACCCCGAGGTGCAACTAGTTAGGTGTCATCCCGGTGGAGGAGTGTACGGAGTTGTTGTACAGTCCTTGCACAATCGGCAATTCCTCATCCCAAGAGTTCTGATCAGGCACAATTAGAGCTCGGAGAAGTTGGATCACAGTCTGGTTGTCCTCCTCGGCCAGTCCATTGGCTTCGGGATGTTGGCTAGACGTCATCTTAAGTTTGATGTCGTAGATATGGGAGGTGAAGTCCTTCCAATCTGCACTTATGAACCTAGTGTCCCGGTCACTCACAAGAGTTTTCGGGGGCCCACACTGTAGAATGTATCTTTTGTGGAACTCCTTGATCACAAGGTCAGTTGGGGTGTGAGGTGGTAATGGAATCAAATTCAGAAACTTAGAAAAGCGGTCAATGATCACCATTACTTGTGAGTATCCGTTCC